CTGTTTCATGATCATTTTTAAATCTAATAGGCAAGTAGGTGATCAGCCTCCAGTGCCTGACACACGCCGTCGACTTTTTGGGTCTAAGACATGTCGGTTTCCTCACGAAGTTTTCCTTCACCGCTACTACAAACGGATAGAATCCTTTTTTCTATTTCTCCCTTATGTTTGTTATATGAAACATAATATGACAGTTATTAGTGGCAATAATAATTTAGTCACAAACAGTGTTTTGTAAATTTGCCCGATGTGAGCGGAACATTTAATTAATTTGTAATGCTAAATTGATTTTTCATATAATATAGTCACAACTATATATGGTCCCAGACATGCTTATAGGCCGCTAAAGTGCGTCTCCCTTTGACCAATAGCGCGAAACGTGCCATAATTTCGTCATAAATTTTTCTCCTACCGGAATGCGTCATTCCCGGCTGCCGCGTGATCTAGAATCTGTAAAGTCTAGAAATAAGTTACTTTTAAACTTCTCCATAAATTCGTATTACACTTAAGTGCGTGTCCCTTTGAACAATAGCGCGAAACGTGCCATATTTTCGTCATTCATTTTTCTCCTACCGGAATGCGTCATTCCCAGCTGCCGCGTGATCTAGAATCTGTAAAGTCTAGAAATAAGTTACTTTTAAACTTCTCCCTAAATTCGTATTTCACTTAAGTGCGTGTCCCTTTGAACAATAGCGCGAAACGTGCCATATTTTCGTCATTCATTTTTCTCCTACCGGAATGCGTCATTCCCGGCTGCCGCGTGATCTAGAATCTGTAAAGTCTAGAAATAAGTCATTTTTAAACTTCTCCCTTAATTCGTATTTCACTTAAGTTTTCTTAAACTTTCTAGGGTTTCTCCTTGACAATTTGTTACTTTTCTCGGTTACGTATTGTTTTTAAACAATTTATTGTTGTTCAGTTTACCAGCATTGAAAGGACTTCATGTGTTCTTTTATATTTATTTGTTTACAATAAAGTTAGTTAGTTTAAATTTAAAATTTTGTACATAAGTAAATACTACAATGTAGAGAACATTGAAGTATTTACTTATGTACAAAATTTTAAATTGACGTGAAGTACAAAGACAAACTAATTAGGTAATGTATTGAACAATTTGTTTTTATAAGTTCTTTCTGGATGTCGGTGCCAATATATCAAATATATACATATTCGTCGATTTATTTAGATTTTCTATCAATTAATCATATATTTTGAATATTATTTTAATTTGTGACGACGTATACTACGACAAACGTTTAGAATATTAATTTTTCTGCAGTGATTTCTCATCATAACAGAAAGTTCTTAAAACATGAAATATACTTTGAATTAAGTTATATGGGCGGGAAGTTGTAACTAATTCTCCAGTTCAAACAATTTGTATGACAATACTTGGCGATTAAAAAGAGTGGCGGAAAGTTTCTTGCCAGTTCTTCTTACCCGCTCTACGCCCTTGACTTGCGAACTGGTAGTAAATGTAAATTTACGATTAATTTAACTTGACGATTCAAAAGTGTACTTGGTTACCCACTTGAATAAAGATATTTTGAGTTTGAGTTTGAGTTTAATAAGTTTGTTAGAACAGCAGTTCGTATGTAATAAATAGAGAAGCAGACCGTACTAATATCTTCTAGAGAAGGTCTCGCCTACAAATTATGTTTCCTTTCACTGGTTGAAATCATTCGTTTTAATTAAATCATTATATGAAAACTTTTTCACTACAGCTAGTTATTGTATGATACATTTAAATCCTTGATACATTCATTCCTATAATTCTAATATATGTCTTAGCATTAGAATAATGTATTGAATTCATATTGTTGTACCTATATGTTTTCGATACAAGCTTTATAAGAAAATTTTGTTGCTTGCCTACATGTCAATCGTTAGTCGAAGAGAACTGATGATTTTAGAAATTGTTGTAATTTCGTAAGGTAGTAAGGGAGCGTTCATGGATTACGTAAGGAATTTTTTGTAAAACGTTACGATGCGGTGCGGGGATTGAATTACGCGTTATTGTTAATATTATTTTAGACTTTCCAGTACTTTACACCACATAATGGTAACTTTTAAGTATAAAGAGTCACTAGGTACACGAAACGTTTTACTAAACTTGGGTACAGTACCGTACTTGGGTAAAAACGTTACGGTGCGTTACATGGGGGGGGGGTCAATAATCTCCAAAAATTGCGTGACGTAATACTTGAACGCTCCCTAAGGCACTCGCGGCCCAAATGTGCAATGCTAACATCATCTCAGGCCAAGTCATGATGATTAATTCCTCATCGCGACAATGACCCACAGTTGTGATGAGCGTTCTAGGGGTGTGTTTGATATAATTTGTGGAGGCTGATGTTAGTGTAAAATTTAATTTGCGACTTCGAACCTTGGTTAATTTGCCATTAAGATCACAACGCGTTTATATAACAGAACTTTGCAAACAAACGTTTGATTTTCAAACAATTTTTAACCTTGGAAGTTAATCTTTTTTTTTGGCTGTCATGTACTTTTGTGTGGTTTAACGATTTGGTTTATATACGGGTATAAAAGAAAGATATATATTATTGTACAACTTGCCACACATAAAAACATTTCATTCAAGAATTGCAAGTTATGTACGTTATAGTAATCCATCCTACATAATCCAATATTTTTCATGTCAAATAAATTTTTATTATAAGTTTTGCAAATCCGGATTTAGTATGTTTAAAAAATTTTGTACATCCCTAAATGACTAATCTGTGTTTGTTTCTTGAATTGGGTCAAAGAGATACGTCTGCGATGTTTCAGTGCACCGAAGATTTCAGACAAGCGATTCTCTTATTTATATTGTTCTTTGGCCTAGATTTCTTTTGCGTCATCCCAAAAGATCTTCTCACCTGACGTTTCGTATCTTCGAAACAAATGATTGTAGCATAGGCTGTATAGGTTAATAATATATAGATTATTAAAAAATGCTGCGTTCTTATTTAAATTTATTTAAAATTATCAATGACGGTATAGCTTTTTTTATGGCAATACATAGCTGTAATAAAAATTTCAAAATGGACGGCCAAAATGTGATAATAATGAGTATGCTTATTTAGTTATTGTGTATTGTGTTATTCACCTTCTCGCAAATGTAGATGCTCCTTTATCACGTATATTCGAACTTAAGAAACGGTATAAATTTCATCAATTCTGTTAAGTAGTTTTTGAGGTAACTCATTTTTTGATGAGACATGTATAGGTAAATAATGTTTATAGGTATTTGAATTTATATTTTTAATTACATTACATAAGTATTTTATATATATAAAGTAAATGGTTAGCAGGTAAAATCATAAAAAAATGTTACTTAAAACGATCAAAAATTAATAAGAAAGTATAAACTAATAGGTAAACAGTTGTGGAGTCATCTGCTTTACGCTTTATATTCGAAACAAAAATTCATACTTTTCATTTCCTTTTGTTAAACCTAATAAATATCTGAGCATTAAGAAACACATCGAACAAATCTTTTATTTTTCTCTTATTTTAGATACGAACGCCTGTTATTCTACTTTTTTTAAACTTTCATGAGAAACTGACACGACCGACGTTGTTTTGTCATAAATCATAATATCTTAATGTATTATTGTAGTTACCGACCACTTAGTGTTGTAAGTGAGTACTAAAATCGATAAAAAATGTTTGAAGGATGAAAATTTTTTAATTTGAGAAATATTGCACAACGGAATCGATACTGTTTCACCTAATTTGTCTAAACCGCTCCGTTATAAGCAATCAAGAACGCAATATATTTTTTGATAAAAATCTTTAGGTAACTAGGTTATGTATATAGAAATAGCCGATCAACATTGTTCACAAACTACGAGTTGTTTGATGAAAATAAAAATGAAACTCTATTAGCTCACTACCTGTTAAACTTTTCTAATAAAGACTTATAGAAATGACCCCTAATACATTTTAATTAAAATTTTCTAACTTTAGATTGATTTTATGCGAAAGGGAAAGCCAAAAGGGACTTTCTACCATCGATGATATTATTTAAATAAGTTAATTATTTTATTTAGTTTCTAGCTTCCGTCCGCAGGTTAGACGGTATATTTAGTATATTTTGGCCAGACTGTTTGGTGACAACACCACTTCATCAGTAATGTTTACACACATAATCAATATTATAAAGACGTACAGTTTGTGAGGTGATATCTCTGCATTTACTGAATCAATATTAATGTTCTTTTACCTATATAAAGCCACGGTATTTATTAACCTGAACTTAGATTTACGTGGTAGTCGAATTTTCAAACTATTTCGGAGAAAAAACGGTCGAACAATAACGTGCCTTACGAACGCTGCCTTACCTGATTGAGTTCTAGAAAAAAGTTGTAGACCTTGATAATACTTAGTGTGTGTCAACGACAGCATATGCCAATTTTTTTTATTTAAGACAACGAAATGGGCCCGGGTCCGCTAGTCAAATACACCCACACATTTTGACATCACTATCTATAGTGAAAACTGTAAAAAAATTGTAACAGTTTTCCCAATTTTTTTCTCCGTATCCATTATATTGGTACGTTGCCTGCTCTGCTCACTGCTATTCGTTAGTTTTCGGCCCATTGAACAGTGCCATACTTTCACAGCTATATCTTTGTATGATTTCTTCTTGTAACGAGTGAAGTACTATAAAGTAACGTTTAGATAGTAAATATTTGGTATATTATTTGGAATCACTTGAGATATGCGATTTTCTTGAAAAAATAGGTTTAAAAAAAAGGTTAGAAAGTCTACAGACATTAAATATTTATACGATTTTAAAGTGCCCCTGGTGTTAACGGGATATATTATTATTTAACGACAGCGTTAAATACTTTGTCAGTTAGTAGAGATATGGTCCATTTTCGATCATAGAAAACCAAACATTAAACATACGGAAATTTCACTATTACCATGATTTCATATGCATAGTTTTATTTGTTCAATTTTTTCATTTGTATTGTCTTTCACAGACATACATGGACACAAATACTCTGGACCTTCGGAACAGCGACCACCGTCACCTGGTGCTGCAAATCGCGCTCAAATGCGCTGATATATCAAATCCTTGTCGTCCATGGGAAATCAGCAGGAAATGGAGCCTCAAAGTTTGCGAGGAATTCTTCCGACAAGGAGACTATGAGCGCAAATTAAACCTACCTGTGACGGCGCTATGTGATCGCCATACCACCTCCATCCCGAAGATTCAAACAGGTAAATTGGTACTTATCTTACTTTGGTTGTGCCGTGTTTTTTATAACCCCAATATTACCATGTTTTAACTGAGATTGCAAATGACCTGACGGCCTATACCTAATCTCCTAAGGGCCCATGAGGTTGAATTACATAGTGCTTTGGGATTGAGAATTCTATTGTTAAGTCCTAAATGTTTATATTAAATGAGTGATAAGAAAAGCCACAGCTTTCTAAAACTTAAAGCGTTTATTGAGTAGGTATATTATAGAGAAATGAAACTCTGGATGTGTTCATTTAAGTTTGAACAATATTTTAATATTCAATGAAAAAGTAATTTACATAGATGATCAAAATTTTTATGAAAGCTTCTCCTATAATTGTTAAATTCTCGCGTTTTTAATTTGAAGCATTTACACCATCACCGTATTTCGATCACATATTACTTAGTTATACGAAGTAACAACAGCATTTCTTTTTAGGTTTCTTCAAATTTGTTGTCACGCCGCTTATCACCGAATGGCACAAATTCTTGCACAATGATCTCTCTGCACAAATGCTTGAGAATTTGATTTATAATCAAGGTAAATGGGAATCGTTGGTCGCCCAGGAGATCGCTGAAGAGACACGCACTGAAATCTCAGACGCTGACATGGTTGATGATGATCTGGAGACATGTTCCGGCACCAACATATCAGACAGCTCTGAATTGCTTCTGCCCCTCCGTAGGAGTTCTCTAAACCCACCGAAACCAATTGGTCTCAGGGAGCAATTGCGAAGATTCTCAGTGCCACTCAATATTTTCCAAGACTCCCGTTTCAAGAAGAGCCGAACAGAATCACTGGCTGAAGCACTAAGCAAAAGCAACTGCAGCGCTTTAGGTAGCGACCAGTCGCTGCACTCACAGCTCAGTGTACGCGGCCATTGTGACAACAAAGACTCAAAGGAAAAGGTTCTGAGCTCTGAAAATCTTATGCCAGACTCCTCTATCGCGTCCATAACCACGCCGTGTCAAGCCTCCCGGCTAAAGACCGTATTGAAAGACGGCAATGCTTGGAAGTTAGTACGCCAACAAACCTTCCCTCCTATGGAGCTCTCCGGCCAAGCTCAGGGCTTGCTCTGCCGACCATACACAAGCTCAGAAGATACCACTACACGCCAAGATTACTTTGAGAATAAAGATTACAAGCTAAAAGAAGAAAAGGTCACCGTGGAGCAATATGAGGAAAAAGAGAATATAAACACATCTAACCGAGCCGGCAATACAAACCGCTCGAAATTCGGAAGTCAGCTAAGAGAGAATCTATCCACTGTTAACCTGAGTATGTTCCCAAGTGGAGAATTACTGGGAAGGAGGAAATCCATGCCCGCCGATGATCTTCATGGTATGTATTAAAAAATATTTTTAGTAACGATTGCTCACTTTCTTTAAGAAAATAAACATTATTTGGTGTCAAACCAAGTATTGTTTCTTTTCTTGTTCCAAGAATTTTTTATTTAAAGCTTTCTGTAATCAATCAATTCAGTTCTTTATCGTTCTAGGAATTTAAATTATTTTGTTTTATACATAAAAAACTTGCTTGAGAAGAATGAGGCTTTGGTCAGCCAAAAAAATATTTCCAATAGTCAATTTTGTTAAGAAATTGTGCTATTTCTTTTAGCTCCAAAAGAGAAACGCATGCGTGAAGTTGTGGCAGCTATTCCCGAGCTCCTTCGTCATATGTACGGCAATGACTTGGCCAAAGGACGTCGTGGTTCTGCCCCAGCGCCTGTTACAATGTCCGAGCTGCCAGGACTAGTGGCTTTGGCTCGCAATGGCTCGAATGGGGGGCGTCGCAAACCCCCACCGGTCACTTGCCACCAATGGATGAACAGTATGGAAACGCCGCACGTGACTCGACGTAGCTCTCTGCCCGTTGAGGTGATGACAGGTGCTAAAATCGATGTTTATTCTATCTCCTTCGCATGCCCCCAATATTTATAACAGTATACCGTCAACAACTATTGGTGAAAGAGATGGTAATAGTATACTGTTAATCGAATTATTGTAATTAAATCTGGTTTTATACTTGCAATGCTAACTTATTTTGAAACCTTGACAAAAACTTAAAAATTATCTAGAAAAGATCACTATTTTTAATTAGTGATTTAAATTTAATAGTTTTTTATATCTCAGGTCAATAATTATATTTATTTTTAATAATTGGTTTTTTAAAGGTTAACTCAACCAGAGTTTAACAAATAAAATAAATTGTATTTGTTTAACTCTGGTTGATCCTCTATCAAGTCGTGCATGTAGCTTTACTTTCAGTATTTATAGTATTGTGTTGTTGTTGTGTGTGTGTGTTGGGTGCTGTTTGTGGTAATTGTCCGCAATAATAATGAATAGGTGTAACTAACTTTATAAAAGGAAAGTATAACAGAAACTTTTCTGTCGTGTCATGTTTTAAGGTAAAACTATAAATTTGTATCCAAATCTTTTTCCTGACCATTGAAGAACTAAAATAATACATGACTGAATATTAGCGGCTGTAGCAGTCTTGATACTTGACAAAACTTTTTCCATTCCAGGAATCTCATCACGCTGAACTGTCGTCATCAGATAATTCAGTTTAGAAATATCTGCCATTAAAAAAGAACGCAGAGTGCAGATTGCAATTATGCAACATCGAAAAATATAAAAAACGTTTACTCTACTAGGGGTACGATATATTTATTAAATGTATGTGTAATTTGGGGTTATTTTCCCATAATTTCAGTGTCTAGTTGATGTTAAAAATATTTACAAAGTTAGCGTCTAATTGTTTCTTGCTATTGAACAATTGTCGTCTAATATTAAACTTATAAACATTTTTTTAGTTTAGCTCAAATAACGGGCTGGACCCAATGTCATAGAACATCTTAGAAATGACAAATGAGTCTTAGTACAAATTTTATTTTCGATTTATTTTAACATAATTTTAAGTCTTTATTAACTCGACAAATGTCACAAACCTGACGCTACAATCTTTTTTTTAAACACTTTAGAGTCGCAAAAGCTCAACTGTATATATTTAGCTATAAAATAATTTGTAAGTATAAGAGTCTCATTTTTCTTAATAGATAAGAGTTTATAGTATGATTTTGATTGAGATGTGGTAAAATTATTACGATAAAAGAATTGTAGAGATCATAAAACAAAAAAAACATTAGAGTAGCTAAAGCCTTAGAGAAAAATTCAGTCGGGATTCACTATCGTAATATTAAACTTGGTCACATTAGAAGGCCTGGTCACGTGACCATTTCCGTACAATTCCGATACTTAGATAGTTGTCTAAGGCCTATGTCTCTTCGTCACAGCGTAAGTAGAATACAGAAAAAAGTGACAATAGTAATTTTTCCACAGGTTTCTTTTTCTAAAAATGCATTTTTTTCTTGTTAGTATTGGAATACCATATTATCCTCTACGTATTTAACACTTTTGAAATTTAATCATAACTACAATCCATTTTAATGATAAGAAATATTGGTGCCAAGTCTCAAATTTATAAAGGTGTTTTCGCCATTTATTTTAACAAAATTGACATAAAAAAACAAAATAATCATTTGTAAATACTAAATTAAGATAACAGTTTCATATTACTTAGATTTTTTTTATCAAGTACTGGTAAGTATAAAAAATAGAAGTAATATTAATAATAATAATAACAAGTATAATAATTATGACGCTTATAATAATGTTAGGTTCACAATGTAGTTTTAAATCTAGTCTTATATTTTATTATGTATTTTATGTTATATTGATTTTAAAAAAAATTACATGCTTGTATGTGTCAATTTCTTTAGGATGGGATGACGTTTGTCCTGTCAAACTTATCACTAGGCTATTTGACAGAATTTAAAAAACCGTTACGGATTATTTATTAGTGACTACAGAATCTATACAATTTGTTGTTTTTATTTCTGTTAAGTACTAAAAATTCATATTAAACATTCACTTTGCAAGAACCCGCCAACACGCTTCTCTATGCAAGATGGTGTCGCACCTCTTCGAAACTTGTAAAAAATTGTCATGTTTTTTACGTGTTTATTATCTTTAATTACACAAATACACATATTTCGATGGAAAACATTTCGACGAAATAAAACTCAGACAAGACAGTATTGGGATTAGACAGGCGAAGATATATTATAATGTATTCTAATACTACATCTACATTGATAATTTGGAGTATTTCGTGTCACGTGACTTGCATAAAAATATATTAATTATGGGGTTTTGATAAATGAATTATTATTTACAAGTTATTTTACTTAACACCCAAAGCTATATAGATTACTATCAAATAGTACTTTGAATGCTCAAATTTTTATTCTTCAATCCCTTGTCCACTGTTGTTTTTTTTCGGCACATAAATAAGCACAATTTTGAAAGGACCCATTTTATAGATAAGTATAGTTTGATAATACATATTTAATAATGTAAATGTTCTTACTTTTTACTCTCTACTGAGTTAGTTGCGATTTGATAGAATATTTTTTATAAGTAATTTGTCTTTCGGAGCTTTAGTTGGCCGACTGATGGAGTTAATTTAAATAACTTATGTTTACTTATTCATCTCGTTTATAAAACTTGACGAGATACGTATATACGAGACTTGTTCTGTGAAAGTGGGTTTTGTTAGAGACCATTTGACTTAAAGAGTACTGAGTACACCAACCATTATGTAACAGATAAGTTTCAAATATTTTATTTTGGTTTTTCGTTTCTACTGAGTAAATATATCTATGGCACTTAAAGTCCCGATGTAGCTTAAAAGCGGTAGATTCAGCGTTAGACACTAAAGCGAGCGACGAATTACGCTAGATTTAGCGGCGAAAGCGCACACCTTGAAGTCATCTATCTATCAACCACAGTCCACGAGACTCACTTTCATAATATAAGAATGGCCAAGAAGCTCCGATAAGCAATTTTTGTTGTAAGCAACTTCAGTATTTTTAAAAGCGCTGGTAGCAAAATGGTTTTATTTTTAGATCAGTATTAATAATAATGGATTGTGTTCTTTATTTCTCAATTAATTTTGTTATTTAAATTAATGTAATTAGTACTTAAATAAATGTTTTTTTTTTAATATTTGTTTCTTTAATTTTTTTGCCTGTTTTTTAATTTTTTTAATTAAGTAATTTCTATATGTGTATATTTATGTATGACGATAGTCTTAATGTTAATCATTATATTCCCACATTATAAAGTCCAATATTAAACGGGCCCAAATCTAATTCACATTATTTCAGTAGATCTGTTTGAATATCCACTATCTTCTGTAAATAGTACTTAACTAACCATCGAATTTAAATCATACTTAAGTGTTGAGTGTAATCATTATGAAGACTGTGTTTTATCAAGCTATATATTATGTAGGTTTCCCTTTGGTCCAAGCTAAAGGCGCAGCGGAAGATTTTTGACAACGGTTTAGCGGGCCTTTATGAGGGAAGACGGTCTAAGACGGTTGAGCATTGATATGACTGCATAAAGTTATCCTTTACAGTTTATAGATGATAGTTTAGCGGGTTATCCCCGTGTATTGAATCAACACAAGTCTTGCTGCTCCCTGAACTGATACTGAGCTAGGTAGCTCGATTCTGAGGTCCTACCACAAAGCAAGTCGACACCGTTAACCAAGTTCGAACGAAGAACCACGTATACCTATATCAGTTTTATTACTTACCAAGTTAGTCTATTGAAAAACGTAAAAAATAATATGTATCAAAATTTTCGTCGCCGTATCCTTTTAATGAATACCAAGCGATATGTTAGGCTGCGTCAATGTTGACTAATATTTTTAATTGTAAAGCTTATAAAGAAGCAGGATCTTGGGTCACACTATTAATTCATTCTTAATAGGGATTTTATTACACTGTTCTTTCAAATGTTCGTTTAACAAAAACGACTAAACTCGAATAAATTAAAATTTTAATTAGCTTAAATTTATAAAGCGTACTCGGATTACATAATTGAATCAATTTGTCTTAGCTTTCCGAGCATTTCCAAAATTGAAGGAACGGCTATTGATATTAAACGAACTATGTAATTGGACACCATCTGTAGAGCTGTTGGAAGTTAGACACCGGCGCTTTTGGTATAAAAAAGTACTATGCTGCTATACTTTAGGAGAAAATATCTGTCAAAATGCACATGTATTAGGAAAATGTATTAATTTTATGACCATGCATTTGGACCGAAGGGAACATCGTAGATATCCAGAACTTCTGGAATTAGGTAACATACTTAGTGTTTTTGAATGTAATTTAAATTAATTCTTGTAAGGTCTATAACACATTTTCTATAATTAAAATATATCCATAATCAAAAGGCGAGTCTTCAGCTGAAGACCGAGAATATGAAAACTGTTTAAACTTTAAAGCTGTTGTAGCGACCACGCCACTTAATAGCGATTTCATTTAGTTTGATGGAAATAACATCGAAATTGGGTTCTGTTATTTGACTTAGTTAAATAAACCCTTTTTATGAATTGACTTTCACATAATCTGATTATTACGTGACAAGTTGATCTCGCTAAAAATAAATTTCTTCAAGTCTGATCGACTGGTCGATTCGACCGGAACTTGACTGTTACGGATATGATGAATTGTCCTTTTTTTTCATTTAATATTTGACCTTAACGAAACTGCCATCACCCTTATAGTGTGCATCCAGTCATAGGTCCCTTAATGAAGATATTCGGTTTAGAAGCAGCTGCGGATTCCAATGTAGAAAACGATGAAAGCGAAACAGCCATTGTTTGAATGGCGAACTTACTGTTATTTCCTTCACACCAATTGCAACGGGCCCAGTCGTGTAAGCAGTGCCAGTCAGCAATTTTATTACAGCCTTTAAATTTTTGAAAATCCAAAATGGCGACTAAATTATTGCGCGTTAACCGCCACTCTGTTCAGTTTGTTACATATTTTGTATACGATTAATATTTACCGAATTAAGCAGAAAAAATGTACTTAAAGTTGCGGACAGAATAAATTAGAATGTTGAAGTTCAAGACTCGCCCTTTGAAATAGGCACATGGTAGCAGTATTGAGGTTTATTTTACTATAATTAATATATTTATATCAATATTAATGACCTATCAAAATATAGGTACTACTTGCCATAATCTAATAGCTTAGATGTTTAAAAAGTTGCTGGTTTAAAGTATTATCTCTGTGGTTCTATGAAACTTAACCGGTATTTTTGTGTATACTCAATGTTGTTCGTGAATTAATGTTAAATTGATGTATCCGTGTGCCCCTTGGTATGAATAAAAATTACAAATAAATGTTGTTTTACTTTTTCCCAAAAAAAAATTAAGATCCCAATTGAAGTTTAGTTCTGTCGACGCTCAAATAAATTTGTCACCTATCGCTTTTTAATTTCATTTCGATTTTGACAACTGTAAGAATTCAATAAGATAATGCCCTTACGGCCTGGCCACGGGGATCAGCGGTGCGAACGGCGATGCGGGAGGCGAGGCGACCATTCGCGCGGGGCCGTTTGCAGGCCACGGACCAGTCACGTTTGCCGCCGCGACCAGTAAGGAAGTTCGACAGCGAAATGTCTTTATCGAAATCATCTCGATATTGCTTGGAAAGTAATAGCTTTTGGTTCAAGACCTAATATTTGGAGAAATTGTGGAGAATTCCACAAGAAGTATGACAAATTCAGAATATATCCAGAATTATTTTTTTGAGTATACCAGAATGAGTATTGAAACCTTCAATTATATTCTTATGAATAATCAACCAGAATTGGAGAAAAAAGTTAATGCAAATAGAATTTTAAGTGCCGCTGAAAAATTGTTTTTGAGATGATATATTAAATTAATGCTGTGGATGGCCAAACTTCCAAATAGCTGGTCTAGCCAGTATTTCAGTAACAAAAAACTCTGTATTCATTTTTCGCCGCGACCACGACTAAACTTATTTATTCCCTTCTCTATTCGCCGCGACTGCCGCTCGACTCCGTGGCTTGCACCGTACTGATTCATGCATTTGTTTCGCTCGCCCGTCGCGACGTCAGTCGCCCGCGCGATTCGCTCGGTACATTTCGCCGGTCGCATCGCTGGTCGCCGTTGCGCGTGGCTTGATTAGTACATTGCTATGAGTTTATTTCAGTCGCTAGACGCATCGCCGTTCGCACCGCGCGAATATTCGCGTCGGCGAATGTCCCGTGGCCAGGCTGTTAGATAAAAATAAACTCAGAGTACCAGAAAAATACAGATCATGTGATACGTTTGTAAGAAGTTTATTCTGAAATTAAACCCAAATTAAAGTCAATAAACTAACACAAATACCGTACACAAAATAAGAGAAATTTTCGGCTTTTCTAAAAATATTTTTTTTATTAGGGCACTTCTTTAGACTTTTTCGTAAGTTAAAGTGCGTAATTTTATACAGTTTTATGAAGAGGCGATTTAAATGAGGAAAGGAATATAATAAACGAACAAACAAATCGAAACTTTATTACATAAACGCTGTGCCGTGTGGGTTAAGAAAAACTGCGCTGCGTTATTGCGCTAACTCACCTTTTTAAACTGTGGCGCACAGCGCATGTACCGTATTACATTTTTGACAGTTGATTTTAAAAATTAATGTTAGACAAGTAGAGAACATATGTCAGACACAAAACTCACCTACTTTTCTATAAAAATAAAAATTACCAAAGAAACAGCTGCAATCTCCATAAAAAAGGGTTGTAGCGCCACTAGACTATTAGTAATAAATAACAGATAAACGAAAACGAAATGTTAAATTTCATGTGTCATCTGTCAAATTTTGAGTTAGCGCAATTTCGCTGTTGCCACATTACATTATTACACTGTTTAATGACGTCACAGTGGTGTATCCGGCTTCGTAGAGGGCGCTCCGATCTCCTTACTCTCCTCACGAATCGACGCCTTTTCCATATTCCGTAAGTTATTCTCAAACTCCACTGGGTCAATTAATTTTTTACCGGGAAAGGGGGGCGGGCCCAAAATTCCCTCGACTTCTTTGTAATTAAGCGTTTCTTTCTTTAACAGTTCTTCAGCCAACTAAAATAAAAAAATATATAAGGGGTCAGATTTAGCACTAGGTCCTTGAAAAAAATGTATCGGATTTTGACAAGGAAGATTCAGCTCGTGCTAAATCTCACCTAGCCAGTGAAAATATCTTATTTAAAATATATATCACCAGTGATATCTTTTTGCAATATTTATAATTATATCTTATTTAAAAGCATCCGCCATCTGTTGGTAAAATTAATAAATGACAACAGGATTCCAAGTGAAACTTAAATCAAGAGTTTTAAAAAAATTACCAAGTTACGTTAAGAAGAAATCAATATATTGCAAAAAGTGTTTATAACCGTAAACCAAGGCTTAACCATAGATAGTTCCTACATATAAAGTTGACAGTATATATCTGTGGTTATTTGACACTTAACCAGTATTTTTGTGTAAGCTCAATGTTATTCGTGAATTAATGTAAAATTGATATATCCTTGGTATGAAAAAAATACAAATAAATGTTTATTTATTACTGTTTCACAAAATAAATTAGACCCCAAATGAATTTTACTTCTTCAATAAAATTAGCGTCCAATATCATCGCTTCCTCGTTTCATTTAATGAAAAAATTTAAGTTAAAATTGCTAAAATTACCGCTTCTAATTTATTCAGATTTTTCCTCAGCAAATCCTCTGTGTCATAATAGGCTTTGGCGATAATCTTCCTTGCTTCCAAATCCATCAGGTTTTTTAGTGTTTTGCTAAATGGACTCTTCCCTCGTTCGTTTATATCCGGGAACGAGAGCAGCCCAACTTTTGGTGACATACCATAGACGCGGACCTGAAGAAAAAATCAAGTTTATGTGTTCGAACGCGCTCACATAGGTATCACGATTTATATTTCACGATCAAATTTGATGAAAGCCAAAATTTGCAACCGATAATTATTAGAATTTTTTTTTAAATCTATAATTGTGAAGCACATTTACTCTTTACTTTATTATTAAAAAAAAATTCAATACATGTAACCAATAATAGACTACTTTTACCGACCTGCGCATACGCAATTTTGGTAACTTTTTCTAGATCATTCTTGGCTCCACTTGTAATTGAGTTGAAAATTATTGCCTCCGCCGCGCGTCCACCCAGTGCCATACACATACGATCAAATAACTGGAAAGAATGTCAAATTAAAACTTATTAATGTTCTTGAGAATAGTTAAAAAAAAATATTTTTCTTTATTAAAATTTTAGATATTTAAATATTATATACCTCTTCCGTAGAATACAGCTTCTGATCCGAAGTGGTGTACTGCGCGAAACCCAGGGCCATATTGGTCCGTGGCACTATAGTGACCTTTAATAATGCGTCTGTGTGTTCCAATAACCATCCAACTAACGCATGTCCCGACTCGTGGTACGCAACTATCCGTTTCTCCGCAGGGGACATTGCGTGACTCCGCTTCTCCGTTCCACCTGGAATGTTTTGGAATATACAATTGTTACAATTAGGCGGATATTTAACTGTATTCAACGAAAATTCAAAATAATTTTTTTTTTTATATATAGGATTTTTTTATAATTTAGAAAAGTTTTGCAAGCACTTTGCAGGGCACCTCATTCGGATTTTTAAAAAAATGTTTATGTGACAAGGTTCCAGCGCATCAGCAATTTGCATGGAAGCTTATTCGGATTTAAAAAAAAATTGTTAATGTGACAAGGTTCCAGAACATTAGCAACTTGCGGCAGCTTATTCAGATTAAAAATCGGATTGGATAAAAAAGAAAATGATTAATGTGACAAGGTCCCAACGGAATGGCAATTTGCGGGATAGTTAGGATTATATAAAATATATACCTATATAAATACATACCAACAACTCTTTCAACTGCATATTCAAGGTTCACGGCTCGAACAATATTCTGTTTGTGCCTTGCTGCGTGTAAAGCTGCTTCATTACATACATTTGCGATATCGGCCCCACTAAAACCTGGAGTTAGATATGCGAGCCTGAAAAAATACACGATTTCAAAATCCTTCGGTTTTTAAGTTGGTTAATCCAGTGTCTTGCGAGGTTGTGTTGTAGAAAATATTAACCGACTTCAAAAACACATTTCTAAATACACAGGTGTTTGTGGTTTAATTTGTCTATATTAATTTATATTTTAAATAATTAAAAATTTGTTTGTGTATATTTTGGGTAGTTTTAAGGGCATTACTCTTCGGAAAAAAAAGGGTGCGTGTACTTATGTACGCGCGTAAGAAGTTATACTTCTTTGGCATTATTAAAAATAGTTTTTGATTGCATGCAAATAATTAATTACAATTAAATAATCAAAGACTGGAAAAGGAGTCATTATAGTCAATAAAGTTCAGTTTACATTTGAAAAATTAAATAAATAAATATTTATTATTATTCTCTTACATTAAGTGTAACATAAATTCTGTTATTATTCGAATGTTGTTTTTAAATTTTGTGTCACGGTCCGCGCGCATCGTAAAGTTTCACTCTCATCAATTTTTCATAACGCGCCTAAAGAAGTATAACTTCAATAAATAGATTTAAAAAAAACTTCTTCCCCTACACTACCTTTTAACATAATATTTAGGAAGATCTTCTAGGACGATATTTTTCAAATGCCTCTCAAAGATCTCTTCCCTTTCTATAAGAGTTGGCAGGTCGATAAGAATGTGTCTGTCAAAGCGGCCAGGTCTAAGCAACGCCTGAAATAATTAAAACAACACAAATATTACAAAAAAGTTTAAACATGTTGAAAATAAGTGATTAAAAACGTTTTTTTTTTTGTGTAATAGGAAGCAAACGCGCAAGAGGTTCATCTGATGTTAGATGATATCGCCGCATAATGAACACATTTATCATTGTGTACAAAATGAAATTTACATTGGAATATAGCGCCACCTATCGGTGCTGTACGAAACTTAGCCAGGGTAATATTATGTACTAACGTACTCTTTTTTCGTCATTGAGCACAAGATGGCGCCAAAGTAAGTAATCTAACTTATACGGCATAATTTATAATTATATTTATTTATACGGCATTTACCCAATTTTGCTGTAGTCAGAGAACTAGAAAGCAAAGAAAGCTCAAATTTTTGCAAATTAAAAAAATATTAAGAAAACAGAAATACAAGCCAATCTATAAACAATACCTTATCCAAAACATCAGCTCTATTAGTCGAAGCGAGTACAACAATGCCCTCACGACTCTTCATTCCATCCATTTCCACCAACAGTTGATTGAGGGTCTGTTCTCCTTCTCCACCTCCTGATCCAAAAGATGATCCTCCAGAGGATCGAGCTCGACCTACGGCGTCCATTTCATCTATGTAGATGATGCAGGGCGCCCGCGAGCTTGCTTCTTTGAATAAATCTCTGGAAAGAAATAAAGCCATTATTATCACAGTAAAATGCTATTAAAATATACTTAGTCAAGATTGTTCATGAGCTGCTAAAAAAAACAGTTATCTATAGGTTTTAACCTCTTTGGATATTTTAAGTGTTTCATCCTTGGCTATATATTTAGTATAATTATGTTTTGTTATTAAGATACTTTTTAATTGAGTGATATTCAAGACCGGAGATTTTGCAAGATTTGATTCTCATCACTATAAAGAGGTCGATAATCTTATTCGAAAGGAATTTAAGAAGGCTCGAGAAAGCAATTCATAAATAAGTATGAAATCATGGAAAATCTGCACAAAGAATACGATAGCTTCAATGTTTACAAAATTATTAAAAAATTCTTGGGACTTAATTGCCGCAATTTATCTAGCCTAGTCGATACAAGGCAGCCCTTGGAAGCTCTTGAAAGGGATAGCAACAGATATATTATGCAGAATGACGGCTTCCTCTGCTTTATAGACTAGGTTTCTTCTAGGACCCTTTTGACAAGGTTAAGAATGACGTCCTCATAAATCGTTTAATTGACACCGATCTTGGTGAAAAGGATCTAAGAATAATTAGGAAACTATACAAAGAGCAAATTGCTGCCATGAAGTGCATAACAAGGACATTGATTAGATCAGTATTTTCCACGGTGTTTGTCAGGTTAGGTTAGGTTAGCTGAGTAATAGTTGTTAGGATGAGCCCCATGCCCATCGTTCCCCAAATAAGGTTCGATGATCTTACCTGACCCTTGCTGCCCCAAGGCCCCCGATCATTTCTATGAACTCCGAACCATTCATAGAGAGGAATGGAACATTCGATTCAGTCGCTACAGCCTTCGCTAACAAAGTCTTGCCACAACCGGGCGGACCCAATAATAGCGCCCCTCTGGGTACCTGTAATTACATTATTTTTGCGTCCGTGTATGATAATTATAGTGGTATGTTAATATATATATATATTATGCGGATTAATTAATTAGATTTAGATTATCAAAATTCTCCAGCCGTTTAGGAGTTACACAGGTACAGAAGATTTATATACATATATAGGGGAAGGTCGGGACCCTTCGTACGGTTTTCACATTTTATTTTTTTATTATTTTATTTTTCCATGAATCAATCATCTGCAAGCTTAAATTTATAGTCTAACTATCTGAGATTCATATAAGAAAATGACAAATGATTTCATCTGATGGTTCAACCATAATTATGATTTAAACTAAATCTGGAAAACGTACGAATCTACCCCATCAACGGGGCACCTTCGTACAGTGTTGAGGGTACCTTCGTACGCTGTGGGGTAGTTCCGTACGTGCGATTAAAACGACACATATAAATCAAAATTCATTTATTAGCAATGAAATTAAACACAAAAATAAAGATTTAACTTCTAATAAACAAAAATAAAATACTTTAATTATAGTGAACAAAAATTACATAGCTTTTCTTAAGAAAACCAAAATTTAATTAGTTAGGTATCTTAAATTTAGAATCACATTCTTTAATCTTTGGTGCGGATTAGCACTTCTTATTTTCGGGTGTGGCAGTATAAATTCGTGGTTTTCCTGGCCGTCGTCATTTTGTTTGTTTTATTACTTCTTACAACATGCGTATAGAGTCGAAACCCTTAAGGTGTCAAAACTGACTTCGAAGGAACTACTATTTGATGGATTGGTAAATTATTCAAAGCATCTGGTTCACAGGCATCAAAATCAACCTTAATAAAGATAATAAAAATAGGTATTAATATACATCGACGATAGCAATGATAGCAACACAGGACAAAGTTAATGCAAATATTAGAGCAATTAGCACACTAACACAATCTTTCCTACCTACCAGAGGGTTTAGTCAAGATGCCTTATTATTATTTGTATGTAGCAAGTCGAAAACTTAATTTGTATGAAAACGACAGTTCGTGTCGACAAAATATTTTCATACAAATTTAGTTGTACAATTCGTTCAAATGTGCCCCATCTAGTGCTGTCCGAAAGTACCCCACTAACTGAATAACAACAAAATATAACTTATTTTAATATTAATAGGAAAACGTCATAAATTAAGTATTGGAGACGTATCTAAGTATATTTTGCTAGTTACTGATAGAATACTCTACACGAAAACTTATTTTATCTACGGTAACAAGAGACAAAAACATTGATCAAAAAATTACTTACCGAGCGCGAAAACACGTCCATGCCTGTAACTTCATTCTCATCGGTGCGAATTTCGCGAAACTTCGATTATGTATAGTTCGTACCTCGACTCATGCACACATACAAAAACAAGACTGTACTTTGTTTCGTTCAAGTTTTATTTCGACTGTATGAATGTGCCCCGCGTACGAAGGGTAACAATCTTCCCCTACTATCTGCTCCCTGCGAACTTCGTCTCGCCTTAATGTGATTTTTTTTAAACCAGTTTGTTAAATAGGTTTTTCAGTGCATTATTTCATTTTTCTCTCAATAAAAACCTTCGAGCAGTTTTCGGCTTAGCGTTTAGCAACATATTTAGCGATTTATTTTATTTATATAAAAAGATAAAAAAGGCAAGCCTGATTCTTTATTCTACGGAGGTGTATAAAAAAATACCGTAACTTTAGTTACCGTTAACTCTATATAACAGATAGAGACAAAAGACGAGGGTTATAATAATCTCACCTTAGCTCCCAAGCTCTTATAATGTTCTGGTCTTTTCAAGTAATCCACAAATTCCATGACTTCCACTTTCGCCTCCTTCAAACCCGCCACATCTTCGAACTTCACACCCTTTCCTTGGCCATGCATGGAATCCACTAAAGTGAATTTAGCACGGCTTAATTGACTCTAGAATAAACATTCGCAATGCTTGTACATTTATATATATTGTATATTATATGAATTATAAAGAATTACTTCATTACAATAAAATCTCCCGCAAATAAAATTGCTTCCTTTATAATTAATCCCCTCTACTAAACTCTACAGTTCATAAATGTCTCTGAGGTTGCAAAAATTAACCCAGGCACACCTTTAACATCTCTCAGCCACGCAAATACACTCAACGTACATACACCCATTCACATACTTATACTCTCACGCATACTTAAGGTCTTATTTTTTGTTTAATCATATTTTTAGGAAAGGAAAGCAATCAGGCAGTGCTCCAGTGCCTAGACCTCAGAGTACCTGATGGTTACGTTAGGAAGTGACATTGACCGCCGTTACTGTTCGTACCCTCAGCTAAAACTACCCTTTTGATAAGGGCACACATAACACAATGCAATGAAATAATTAAAAAACTTAATAGATTAACAGACGTTTTTAATTGTCCCTTGAGTGCGGTTTGCTTTATGTCAATTCTTAATTGTGTAATATGAATAGTTGTCACATTAAGGTGACACTACATAGATAATGGTAACTTATTTTGTTAAAGGAAATCGTTGTTAGGAAACTGAAAAGCTTCAGACACCAAACGTTGACAGCTTTTATAATCTTAAACAGTTCATCATATTCAATTTAAGCCATAACAGATATTTAGATTATATAGTTTTTAGTTCTATTAAAAAACAAACAAAATAAAATGTAATACTTACAAATCCCCCTAAATTGATATTCATTTTCATAGACTTTGTAGAATAGAGGAAGGATAGTATGACAGCCGTAATGAGTAAAGTTGTTATAACTTTGCCCGCTACACTTCCATTTCTGTCGTATATCACTCGGACACCTGAAATATGTTTACACAAAAATCACTTTGTGAAACTAATAACATAAGTGATGTTAATAAATATGATTTTGTTAATTTGCCTATATTGCCAACAATAAAAACCCATATATAATTCATACCTTCTTTAACACCCAAACTTTGTTCAGTTTCTCGTAACTTTTCTTCAAACCTATGAATATCACCCACATTCATATGATACACTCTACTGGTAGCCTGGAAAAATATTAAAAGGATACAGATTTTTTGAATATTGATTTTAATAAAACCGTTTTTCAAAATAAATACTGACTTTTCGTCCTTTAACAACAGCTCCTTCATGAAGGATTATGGTGACAACTTCAATATCAGGCCGTACAATTAATTCTTCCACCTCACCCTTTAATAGCATAGAGTATACAAACTCATTCCATGACACATACCTGACAAACTAAAAAATATAAGGCAACATTAATTACTAGATATAAGTAAATAATACTTGGAGTGTTTATTTTGTACTGAATAGAAACAAGAGCATGTGACACATCAATGTTTACACTTGCAAATATCTATTTTTTTTTAAATATTCTCTTGTAGGAACTATTCATTTATGCAAAACTTTTTCAAAGAGTTGTAATTACATTATATAATAAAATATTTTGATTTGATAATGAACAGTAGAAACTGTACAATATATGTAATTCAGTAAAATCTTTTGAATAACCTTGTTAGTCTTACTTTAACATGACATTTGATGGGATTGATTATGATAATAATAGTTATTATTTTGTTTTGAGAAACCTTGAAGAAAGCTTGAAGAAATAATTTAGTTTTCTCTTAAAAAACATGAATATATACTAAGCAAGCAAAACTTTAATATGTATGTGTATAACATATTTTTTAATAATATTTAGAATTTTAACCTACTTCACTTTGTGTATTATCACCAGATAGCAGCATAGAACTCATCATAATTAGTGTGAATGTTGTCATTATCCAAAACAGAGCCTTCACCATAATTGAGGGAATATTTGCATCCTCCTTTTTCTTATTCTTGTCCTATAAAATTAAATTTTTACTTTAATAGCTGTAAATCTTATAAGTTTATAAAATGTAACCCTCCCTAAGACATAAAAAAGATAAAATAATAACATACATATATAAATATGCCACAGCTAAAAACCCATTATTTAGTGTAAACTAGTAATTAAGTCTGAAATTTATATAAAATCTGATATTTATAAAAAAAATCAACATCAAGTCAAAACTAATATTTTGTGTCAGGTATAAATTATTTTAAAGCATACTGCACCTTATCATTTTCATCTTTGTTATAGTTGGTTGTACTTGTGTGTAGACTACGACCCAATAACTGGAAGGTATGAGTGAATCCAGGCAAATTTGATCTTCTTAACAAAGCTTCAGCAGCTTTGTATTCTGCATTAAACTGTTTTAATTGCTGCAAAATGTACCAAAACTATATTACAATGCATGTAAGATGTAAAGTTAAACAGGAATATTTTCATTTCAAATTTGTCTTTTCACCATTCACAGATAAGATAATAATATTTGCATACTGCCAAGTAGTACCCTAAAACAGTCGAAGTAAAAAGTTTCATAGTACACAAGTGTACATTTTTATGTCTTATTATTAAATTTAAAGTCTAAATCTCAACAAAGGCATTGTCTGATAACAGTTTCCTGATCATGTAAAACATTGGTCTTAAACAAAGGAGAAATTTGCTCATAAATACTGTAAGAGAAATTCAGGAATAACATTGTTCACTAAACACTGTAAAATAGCAATTTGCAAAATAGTTATGAAATCACATTGTGTAATAAAAATACTTACTGGATGTTTAGATTGAGCTGTACAGTTGTGTATAGAAGACAGTGATTTACACAAATTCGACAATTTTGAGTAATTTTTGTATTCTCTTGTAAGAATTCCATTTTTCAAATTAAAGATAATATTACTGTGTATATTTGAGGTTGATAATCTCGGTAAACGTTTAATAGATAACATTATAGATTTTGTGCGATTATTATTAAATCATTTTAGTAAACACATTAACAAGGAATTGGATTTATTTTAAATTGAAATTTAGTTTCATTAGAACTCAAAAGATATGGAAAAATCACTAATCTCCTGCTAACACTAAACACAGTCGTGAGTCGCAACTCGCAACGCTTTAAAGTGACAAATGACAGTGTCAGCGTCAGCAGCTATGACATTGACAGTAAAGTATTGTCTTTATATTCTACTTGGGGACAAGCTTACACTTTGGACACTATTTATACAACAAAGCATTTATTTTTGTTTGTTTTACATGTAAAAAGTAATTAAATTTCAATAATTTAATAAACAAAAATCTTCTATGCTAAAAACAGATTCAAATTTTATTGCTTATCAAAATTCCAACTTGTATTACAAGGATAACGAAGGAGTGAGGGACGGTGCAACGTTTTTGCAACAAATAAATTTTAGCGATATATATTTCAATTCCTTACAATCATTGTAAGAAATTGTGTTTACCAAAATGACGTTACAGCGAGGATTATTCTATGACTATAGAAACAAAAAAAAATGCTTGCGTACAAAGTACACATGTCAGAAGTGAAACTTCTTCGGCAAACTAATTTTTAAGTCTTGTTCATATTTATACAAATCTTAAACTTTAGATTTCTGAGACTTAGAGGGAGGGAAAAAGGAAGATATGCTAGGAATTTAATGAATTTAATTGTTATTAAAATATTAAGTGTCGAAAATTAATACAAATTATAAATTTAATTATTTTAATTTATTTCTTCGATAATAAAAACACGTCACATTTTAATTTAAAATGTCAATAGTTTTAACTTTATGCCAGTTTCAAGCAAAATTCGTCATTTGAGATTTCAATAAATTTTTTGAAAAGAGATTTTATATAAAATACTAATATTTCATAAGTTCTCTTTACGAAATTTTAATTTCAAAAACAGAATTTCTATAAGGTAATTCGCCCTTCTGACTCTCTCTTAATCGGTCTCAATCACTCTCTACCTTTTCTTCGACAAAAACGCTGCATACCTTCGTGACGCTAACATTATTATTATTGCGTTTCATCCGTAAAACATTTACCCTCATGCGCCTAAAGAAGTTTCACTTAAAAAAAGCGGCCAAGCGTTATAGAATTCATTTCGACCATTACCAACAAGACCATAAAGATAATGAATGGGAGACTTGTTTGATTAACAAAGTATTTATAACAACATTTGCGTGACCACTAATTTCATTATTTAATCGAATAAAACCTTATTGGTAGGTATATTTAATTAAATACAATGTATACAGGCTTAAATTTCGTTGATTAATACATAGCATATATTAAATTCGACATTTTTAATATTATGTTCGTCTTATGTTTTGAATTAATAACTCATATGTAGACATATGATATGCATCCAAACCGGACGTCCGGACGTGCTTAGTAGTTCCTATGACTAAGTTTAGTGCCTAGGGTTCAATTTCCGTAAAAATGTTAATACTAGTGTTTTGTAATAAAAAAAAATATATTATTTCCATCGTTACTTAGAAAACCTCTAAGAAGAGGGGGGGGGTCCATTACACCCGTTAGAGCATGAATAGGTTCTTGCTGTATTCCAATTTACGAATCCCTCAAATAAGGTTTCCTGGAATACAAACGACATCTTCAAATAAACTATTGTTAAAAAAAAATTGTTGTTGGTAAAATTTTGACGGAAGAGAAGAAACTTAATGACTTCTTGAGACGCATTTTCCTATAATAAATACTATTTGATAATTTTAATTTTATTTTGTAAAATGTGTGTTTATTTTGTAACACACCAAAGCTATTGAGTGTATATATTATTAGGTCCAAACAATACCTTAGCTCGTACAAGAAAAATCAATGTGTTTCGAACCTTATGACAGGGTTTACCTGATCCGTAAGCGTTATTTAGAACCTAAAGCTAGTAATATTAATATCTCATTAATAGACTGATTGAACCTAATCCCTCGATTTAATTTAATTATTTAATGATATGTCACGCAAACTCATAGTATATAAGACTACAATTGCGGGGTATCGATACAAGTGAGAAGCGACTTTGAAGTCGAACTACTCACTTCGTCGAATAGTATCAAAAACAAAGTAAACAATGGAACTGAACTACACAGCAGAGGACCCAATCGCCTTCCCCTTCAAAATGTGAGTACTTATGTTTTAATAATTGATTTTCTTCACGAGTTTTATTTAATGTGATCTTTAAAGACTAAGTTACTAAGTTTTAAGTAAACATTCTCGTGTTTCTAATGCAAAAATATACTTTAGTTTATTCATAACATGAAAATAAGTATTTGAAGTTTTATAAATTAACGTACAATGTTTGAGAGCCTCCTCTCCATATCTGAGTTTGGAATGAGACAAAATTCAATATTTTCCCGGTTTTATGTGATTTTTTTGTTTAAATTCTGGAATAGTAATATTAAATCGTTTCTATGCGTAAGTAATAAATCAGCTGAACGATTACTTAAATCATGTAATCACTAGGGTGTCGGGGGAAGTTCAGCAACACATGCTGGGCTGGAACATTCCTGCAGAACACCAAGGCCTGGTGCACGAACACTGGCGCCAATTTCCAGCGGTAGACAAGTTCTCTCACTACCTTATGGCACTCATCTATTTCATCCTGATGATTTCCTCTATCACCGGCAACTCGCTTGTTATTTGGATTTTCAGCACGTGAGTAACAAATTTTATGAAACTTCAGTATGCTGTTCTATTGGCCTCTATAGTGTAAGGTTTACTATGACTCCCGGATTCCATAATACAATATTTGTATTTAATTGGAGTTATGCTTAGCGCTAAGTCTCAGCGAACCAGAAATTGCATGAGTTAGGAATTATTTCGTTTAGCAGGTTACAGAAACTATATACCTAATAATACAATAATGTTTTAGGTTTTAACAAAGAGACACAATTTTATTATGTGAAAGTATTCCAGCAGACATGAAAAGCGCCTTCTATTTTTTGAATTTCATTTGCTAACATCTATTTATAGGAGCATTCTTCATCTATCTGAATGAAGAATTTTTCTATTAAATTTTTACATGAAAAGGCTTTCTACATATTTCTAAATAATTTTCGCATTTCGACAATGATTTTCTATTTCGGAACCGAAGGCTTTCAAATGAATTTGATTCAATGAAAAGATTCGGTGGGTACATAGTGTTGGCGTTACTATACACTTTTCTATCTAATAGACTCGTGAATCTCAAATAAGTGTCTATGAAATAGATTCAGATTTAAACGATAAAATAATTTATTAAATTTCTCTAATTTTAGATCCAAATCACTTCGATCTGCAAGCAACATGTTCATTGTCAATCTGGCTATATTCGATTTAACCATGATGCTGGAGATGCCCCACTTAATAGTGAACTCGTTTTATCAAAGAATGCTTGGCGATCAGATTGGGTGTGACATTTATTCCGTATTTGGAGCCTTATCAGGGATCGGTGGATCAATTACAAATGCTGTCATAGCTTACGATAGATATAAGTAAGCAATTATTTGGTTTTCGTTTATTTCAAGACATTTTCGAAGAATTTTTAATGGAAAAATTATTTTGATTAAATAATAATTAATTTAAAGATATTTATTTATGTCGCTTGTAGGACTATCTCGTGCCCGATCGATGGTCGCATCAACAAAGTGCAAGCATCCATCTTGATTGCAGTCACCTGGATGTGGGCAATGCCATTCACTCTTCTACCCTGGACCCGAGTCTGGGGCCAATTTACAACTGGTATGAATCATATAACACTATTAAGTCAAAGAGTTAACCGATAATAGTAATTACCTAATAACGCAAAGTATAAATATGTGGAAATCACAGAGTAGATTAAGTATACCGGGCTCTTCGGGAATGATATCAGACTAAGGCTATTGTCTTTTCGTGAAATGTTGTATTATTGCCATAAATTCAATTTTTTTTTCAAAAACATTATTCTATTTGCCTACAAAAATAATACATGAAAGCGTAGATTTCTGTTTTACTCCTTTTGTAAGTTACATGCGTTTAACCTTTAAACATTATTTGCTAAGAGTTAATAGCACATTTACAGTAACGAATATAAAAGGTTTACATTGGGTTCATTATTATATTATATTATATATGTATTAATTTCAGAGGGATTCCTTACCACCTGCTCATTTGATTTCTTGAGCGAAGATCAAGATACAAAAGCCTTCGTTGCGTGCATATTCTGCTGGAGCTACGTCATTCCCATGACTCTGATTTGCACATTCTACTCTAAATTATTTGTTGCGGTAAGATTAACTTTTTTTAAGAATTTGTCACTCAATGGAAGGTTTATATGCAGGCTTAGGTAAAAAATCAAACCTGGCTTATTTATGGTAATTTGTTCTTTTTTGAAGAGTGTCAGTCAGTGGTACGGAAAAAGACGCAACATGGAGTCTTATTTTCAAAACTGTATTTACATGAAAATGTCAACATAAGTAAGGACAATAAGTTAAGTTCAACCTAATAGAATAAGGGACAAAAAATATCGTTGTTATAAGTTAAAAATAAATGTTAATGAGACGAGCACGAGAATGTAAGTACGTGCTCCTATTTCACCATGCCTCCTGCTAATAGAGGACAAATCTTTGTTTTTAATTTATTTTATTATTATTAATTACTTAAGATGACATGTGGAACATGGTGTAATGGTTGCACCTCCTTACAAACGTTGTGTAAAACAAAAACTTGGCGATTAAAAAGAGTGGCGGAGAGTTTATTGCCAGTTCTTCTCTTCCGTTCTACGTCCTACGTACCTTGATTTGAGAACTAGCAGTAAATGCAAAATTAGAAGCATTTAATGTATGTTTAAACTATATTTCTTTTTTGACATTCATATGTGTACATTGTGTTACCTACATGAATAAATGATTTTTGACTTTTGGTAATTGTTGTTATTCATAGGTACGTCATCATGAGAAAATGCTGAAGGAGCAGGCCAAGAAAATGAACGTCAAATCCTTGGCTTCGAACAAGGAAGATGCTGGTAAGAGCGTGGAGATCAGGATAGCGAAGGTGGCCTTCACAATCTTCTTCCTATTCGTTTGCTCTTGGACTCCCTACGGTGTCGTTGCTATGATTGGAGCTTTCGGTGACAGGTAAATAATTAGTCGAATAGATTTATTGGTAGCTCAAAAAAGCAACAGCTAAGTAAGAAACAGCCTAATTGGCATCCTCCAGGTGTGTTCTGGCGGTCTTCTTGGCTTATAACATGACGAATGTATAATCTTCTAAGAGAAATCAAAAAAGAAATACTAAAATAAAAACATTTATTAATACTTAGGCATTAACGCCTTGCGTATTGAGTAATATTTTTTGGATTTAACAAGAAAAATTGTCAGTGGGTCATTTCGTGGAGATTTACAAAATTTTAACGTCGTATTACAGGTCTCTCCTTACACCTGTAGTCACAATGATTCCAGCTGTCTTCTGTAAAACGGTCTCCTGTATCGATCCTTGGGTTTATGCTATTAACCACCCAAGATTCCGGTAAGTACTAGAAGTTAACGAATAAAATAATTTCTACATTTGATTTACTAAATGCGTAGTACTAAATTACTTAATACTATAACTAAAATATATATTTAGTTTTATTATTAATCTGAGATTTTTGGGTGTATAAAAAATCCTATTTCTAAATTAGCTACGAAATGAATAATCAAATACACTGAGCATAAATCAGGACTCGATATCAGCTCTTTACCATGTTATAATGTCGTAATATTTCTTAACATTATTCAAAAATTATTTAGATATTTTAAGGAGTCTTTATTCGTTCAGGGCTGAACTGGAGAGGAGAGTTCCATGGATGGGTGTCCGTGAACCCGACCCAGACGCGACTTCCACTAACGCCAGTACATCGACAACACCAGCTGATGCCTAAAAGTTTTAAAACAGCAGATTTACTTTAAAGACCAAAGCATGGAGAAAGGACACGATAAAATTTAGAGAATGGCCTCTTCACATTTGTCAGGGCGGATTAAGGTAAAATATATTAAAATAATTGTTTTAAAATCTTTTATTGACGGTTTAATTTGCATTGCGAAGGCATAACCGTGTTGCGAATGATCCAATCCTGTTGATAAATATGAGGGGACCGTCTCTACCACAGCAGCTTTGTTATAAGAAAATGTAATTGTAAGTACTTGAATGTAAAAAAGAAATGTGTAAATGTTTCTAACCAAAAACAATTGATGACACCGACGACTATGGCTTTTTTATCGAGCAATTAAAAATTTATTGAAAATCTTATCTTTTATTTCATACTCCTTTTCATATTAATACGATATCTATTTATTATATTTTTATGCAAATATATCTCGGAAATATAACTTCTATTTTATCAATAAAAAAATAACAATTTTAATGACCATAGGCATACTTCTACTGTCGTATATTAAAAAGTAAAAACTAAATCTTGTCCGTAATTGTTTTTTATAATATACATTTAAAACATAAATAATAAACGGGGTAAAACGTGTTCATTTATCTCAATTTATACTAATCTAAAAATACAACTTGTACTTTCTTCTATATAGGATATGTTCAACATGAAAAGATGTTTTAAATATGATTCCACGCCTATATCACAGTCATTCACTACGTCACAATAATTTATTTATTACAAAATATTAGTAGCAATTTATTTTGGAATTATCAAAGCACGATCAATTAACCAATGCTAAAGATCTAAAGACAAAGCTTAAGATTACGCAAAAGAAACGTCTGAACCCAAAAATAACACTTGCCTGCTCACAGACAGTCGATTTTCAAATCCAGAAACGGCACGTTTTCAATATTGTATGAGTGCAAATATGTGTTAAGTGTGTGTAGTGTAATTGTATGTGATGTTTGCCGGTGGAGGTGCTGGGTTCCAAAAGCAGTCTAAGCCTCCTTGGGAGAATGCGAGTGAAATATCACACAGCTGGTGCGTATTTTTATTTTAGAACGGTATTTTTATACTGGAGATTGTAGGTGACGGCGATTAGCTCACCTTGATTTTTAGTTGCATACACACATTTGGCAATGGAATAATATAAACATAATCTCTATAAAACGTTGGTATTTGTTTATACAAGAAAATACACTTTTACGTTGGTGACAAAAATTATAGGCATAAGAAACAAATACCACTTTCTGTAATATCTAATGCTTTTATATAGCTCAATGACTCTGATTAATTCTCAAGTCTAATTAGATTTGAATGAAATTTTACAGGGATAGATTTTCTCGGAAAATTCTAAATTAAACTAATTGGTAACTTAATTTATTTCTGAGTGGTTCTTTAGATACATCATTATAAATATTAACTACTATCAATGTTAGTTATAACATTGTAGCGACATCTGCAATCTGCAGCTAGAATCAATGCGATCACGTCCTGGAACGTGATATGAAAGAGTTATGTTGGCGGGCGTTGGGACGATCTTCCACTACAACAACTGGGGCCTTAGGACTGGCCAGCCAGTAGTATGATTGGACAAGGAAGGTCCTTTTGCTTGGAGGAAGTTCACATCTTCCGTCCTCTACAGTTTACTAAACTTCTGTTAAAATATAATTATAATAACAAGACAAGATACTCACAATTATTTCATGTGCCTCGTACGAACACGAATTACCTGCATAATTTACCAATGTTTCAGGCTTTATCCAACTAATTATGAGGATTTTGATATTTTCCACCTCACCAAAGAGGATGTTAAGAAATATTTAAAGAAGCGGGAGGACTTTGACTTTCTTCAATATTAACAATTTAGTTTTCTCTTTGAAATATTAAATATTAATTGTTGTTGTTTCATGTTAAATTTCAGTTTTCTTTTATTTTTGTATATTAATGTACGTTTCCTGTTTTAACTATATCTAGTCTGGCCATTTATACTGTTACATAAAAACTTTTCTTTTTTTTAACTTTTTAATTATTTTGAATTTGGAACACGTATATTATTTTAAAAACTTCTTTCGATTTTACGCTGTTCCTCATATTTTTCGTATTCATTAACAAATTACAATATGGAATAGGGTGTTAAAGAAAATAGGATAGCAGTGATCGCCTTGCACAAAGTGGGTATAGTCGTCGGCCATATTCCAGACACTTCAAAAGCTTGGTATCAGCCATATGTTCGTATATTGTACTATCAACAGATACAATAACACTTCGTCTATCGAAGACCAGAAAAGATTGGGGCGCCGCATGCTGTTAGAACTACAAAGGCTGTTAATGCTGTTAAAGCCAGAATTCGTCAAAACCCCATTAGGAAGCAAAGAATCTTATCGCGAGAAATGAAGATTCCCACTAGGACTTTGTCTCTCAAAACGAGTCCTGAAGCTCGGTACTTATCGTCGATATACAGGACATACCCTAAATCAATCTATACAATTAAAGAGATTGTGTGGTTGTGTAAAGTGAATCGATCAGAACGCCTACTGTCGCGATGCGCAGGTGAAAAAAAATTCACGATTGAATAACACTACAATAAGCAAAAAAAAAGTGTACGCACCCAGTTCTAAAGAAGCTGCTCAAGTGGTCGGAAATGTACAACGTGGTCATCATCCTGCATCACTGATGGTTTGGTGGGGCGTGTCTTATCAAGGAGTCACAAAACTACATGCTTGTGAAAAAGGAGTGAAATCTTCAGCCAAATTGTATCAAGATACAGTCTTGGATCATGTGAAACCTCTCAGCACTACACTTTAAAAAAATATACCGTGGTCTTTCCAGCAGGATTCTGCACCTGGTCACAAGAGACGAACTACCCAAGCCTGTCTTGAAACGAACTTTCCGGGCTTTATATCAGCTGAAGACTAGCCCTCATCTAGCCCAGACATCAAGCCTTTAGACTTCAAATTGTGGTCAGTTTTAGAAGACATGACCTGCTCTAAATGACGCGATGACATTGAGTCTCATAAAAATTTTTTGGAGCAAGCAGTGGCGAAATTTCCCTTGGAAACAGTGCGTCAATCCATAGATTCGTGGGCAAACAGATAAAAGGCCTGTCTTGCGATTCTGTAACTCACTTTTCGAACTCACACAGCGGTATTCGCAGCAGCGGTCGCGCTCAAATCAGTCGTGAAGCAGTCATTTTATGATTTGGCATTCTGATAAACAATAAAATACAAGTTCCCTCCTTATTCGAAAAGTGAGTTACAGAATCGCAAGGCTGTATAAAAGCCAAAGGTGGCCATTTTGAATACAATATTTTTTATTTTTTGCTGAGCCTTTAATAAATATGTAGGTGTACATTTGAATAATATTACATTACTTCATTAACAAAATGTATTTTCATTTACAGCCATAAGTTCAGTAACAGAACTTATGGCTGGACTAGGTATATTGTTTATCTATGTAATCTGTTTTGGCTTTGTATATTGTCTAAGTGTTTTTTTTTATAATAAGTTCGTTAGCTGTAAGATAACTTATAAAAATAAATAAATAAATAACGAATATCCTTAATAATTATTTATTAGAAGAAGACCACACATACCTATTATAATAATTAAACGACAAAACTATAGATTAGTTCAAAAAACTGTGTGAATTCTAGAAGTGTACTATTATTCATAAAACTCTTTTATCATGAATATATCCCTTAAATTCATACTTTGTCTCCTCTATATTAATTAACCTTCAGAAGAGATCCAGCGTAGAACCAGCCTGATCAGTCTTGGGCAGCTCTCTTAACTTCACTCCACGTCATGGCAGCTTCCTTCGCCTCTGCAATGATGTTCGTTTTCAGATCTGTTTTAAGCGGCCACGTTTCCTTTTGCTTTGAGGATTCCAGTCGAGAGCTTGCTTGGCAATAAGACTTGGATAACACTCAATTTGACTTTCAGTGTCTTTTGGTCCTTTCAATTCGCACCTTATTGCATAGCTCCTGTAGTTGATGATTGGAGATTTTCTCGGGCCAGAAGAAGACCTGGAGTGGTTCCGTGGTGCTCTTTGTAAACTTCGTTAAGCAACCATACAGTACACGGACTCATTTCATAAGTCCTATTATATATTTCTGAAAGAGACCAGAAATTATGGTCACAAAAATGGCAGATATTAGACGCAAAAGCTATCAGCCTATTAATAAAATTTCCAATAAAACAGATGCATAAATCCGAGACCTCTAAAATCTTGTATCTATAAGGAAATTATTTTACAATTAATTAATTGATAAAATTGTAAGTACCCGGTATATTATGTTTTGCATGTCAAAATATGAATATTATATTGCTAATCATTATGCTGTATGTTCGTGTACGGTGTGCAATTATGTGACCTTAGCCTGAATCTATAAAGTACCGTCGACATGCAAAATATGGAAAACAAAATTTCATGGTACTGCAAATATTTACATTGAAAGGATTTCTAAAATTAGATTTTGGAAATCGTTAAGTCCGTATTTTTGCTAAATAATCAGCGGGCATTGTAAAGGTTATGTCATCACCCAGAGAAATATATCTAAAGTCAGATGGCATATTCTTTATATTTAAAAATTATGATTATTATGAGTTATATTCATCAGTTTATGAGAAACGCCATTTCATATTGGCTTATTGATTCTTGAAACTTGATTCTTAACATTTCTTTGTTCGACTCTAGAACTTGAATCAGTTCTAGTCTAACAAAGCAATATCAATAATTTCACATCGCTTTGTTCGCAGCTTCGAAGTATACGAATAATCCTTAAAATTGAAATAAGCTTTGTTCCATTTGTATACCTAATAGACCGCGCAACTCATACAATTAGTATTTAGTTTATAATTTCTATATTTTACAACACTGCGATACGAACTAGATAAAGTGTGTGCTAAAATTCGAAATTTACGCTTTCACCAGTTGATCTCACTAATAATTCGTTCGGTCTAGTGAATGTAGACGACGACACTGACGATTGTGTA